GCGCAAGAACCGCACAAATAAACTCAAGTGGCAAAAAGGTGCCTTAATCCTATCCTTTTAACATAGGGATAAGGTTGTTTTTGCCCCTTAAGTTTATTTGTGCGGTTCTTGCGCTGGGGCGACGATATTCTCTCGAAAAAGCTAAAATAACGAGCCAAGAAAGAGAGAGAGAGAGAGAGAGAGAATCGTCTTATCTCTCACCTTTGGCATATATAGGCAGCGAACGGCGATGCATGATTTTCCGTTTAACGATATACCGTTGTGTATCATTTTTTTCCTCTTCTTTCGTTCTTATCGCTGGCCATGCGGTATACGTGTTTGTGTGTGACTTCGGAGACACGTCGCAAAGCACGTGGACCACGATCAGCCGAAGTCGGATGCGGAGGAGCCAAAAGATTCAAGATACCCGATTAGAAATTTGCGTTGCGTAAAAGTTTCGGTGGCGCTTACTTATAATTTATACACACACGAGATGCCCTGTGGCGCGCGTGTGCGCTTCTCTCCGCGCGTTAGATATAAATCTTCCGAGTCGCCAACAAGAGACTCGATTGCGTGCACATGCTGTAAATATCCGCGAGTACTGCCTATACGAGGAAAAGCACAAGTGCACGTGAGGTATTCGTATTGTTACTCGTATTCGTATGTATACACGCATAAACACATCGCTCAGGGCGCGCATAGAGATTCGTCATTGTGATTTTCTGTTATGCAAAAAGCCAAATATAAACGCGTGTATATCGAGAATCCAGAAAAAAGGGAAGAAATCACATCCGATCGTTTGCCGATCGTTTACACAGGCACTGCATAGCGTCGATGTATATTATTACACACGCTTAGGAAGAATTAAAAAAAAAAAAAGGCGCCTCGACGCGCGCGGTAAAAATTGCTACATCGTTTAAATTTCCTCCTCCTCGCGCGACTGTCTGGCGCGAGCTTCGAGTTCGCGGAGTGACGCGCGGAAACAGGCGTCAACGTTTATACACACACATAACATATAGACGTGCGTATACATAATTATTATCATAATAGTAGTCAATGCGTTCGGTTGATTTTGCACTTTGCATTGCACTCGATCGTCGTCGCGCGAGGATAGGAAGCGTGTATATTTATACGTATTATATATGTACGCGGAGTATTTTGAGTAATGTATGTATAGGTCTATACGGAGAGCTTGAGCGAGAGTGAGACAGACCTGCAGCCCGTTTATGGCGATCCGTTGAATAGCTCGAACTCTCGGCGCATAGACAAGACACGCAGCAGCACCTGACGTCTATGCGTTGCGGCGACGTCTCGTACATAATAATGCACATCGCGATGCGTATATTAGTACAATGGTATGTATATACTCTTGCGGTTAGTGCAAGTTTGCATTATATACCCGAGATCGGTTGCTTTTTTTTTGTCATCTAGCGCTGGTGCAGCTATAAGCGAGACAATCAAATTTTCAAAGGACGAATCTCGCTCGATTCCGCATTCCAATGTATATTTACACGGCTTGCACCGCGATCCATTGTAACCATGCGCGACAGACAGCTTATAAAGGACAGTTATCGGTTATTCGGCATTCCGTCGCCGGCGCGTGTCGCATAAAATAAACTTTATATTCCTATATATAACAAACGCGTCTATGCGTCCTAAAGTCTAACAGTACATATACGCACGACAAAATCACGTTTTCGTATACGGGCTCGATAAGAGGCCTGCCGCGCGCTCGATCGACCGGGACAGTAAATAACTTCGTACCCGCGCGCGCGAGAGCTTTATTATATCATATATAGCTGCTCGGAAATTTGCCGATTTCAGTCTAAACTCGTGTCTGCGCAGTTCTTTCGTATACATACCGATAAATAGACAAATCGTATTTATAATGTATGCCAGCACGAACGCGCGCGAACGCAATCAGCTGTGCGCGCATTATGCACCTGACATTCGAACGCGATAAAGTCGTGCGGCGCATATACAGACGCACCTTTCTCGCGCTCTCTCTGTGTATATATTGCTCTCGCTCTCTATTGCGTATTATTATAAATATATCGCGTATATAAACACGCGCGTTTACAAATTTCATAATCATCTCTCGCGCGTGTGCGGTGTGGGGAGCACATGTGCGCTCGGCGCGATGCACTATTATAGGTGCGCATTATATATTTCATTTTATTGCAGCGCCATTATTCCTTTTATAATGCAGTCGAGTTACCTTGAACGTTATCGCGTGCGTTTGAGGCCTCTAATAAACATTAATCATCTTTCGAATCCAGGCGTAGTATAACTAATTCGCTCGTCGATTGGAGAAAACTTTTTTCTTTATTCTCGTTCTCGCGGTGGATCATCATCCGTATATCGTCGTGCACTTGTGTGCTGCCACACGCATGCATCGTGCGCCTCTTGTTTGATATCTCTTCAATACATATTATATATACATTGCTTCAAGATGAATGACGTTTTCCATTCGTTGCATAGTATACACGCTATGCTCAAATGTCTTACAGGATTGATGACGGCTGCGCATAATTGATTCCTCGGTATTATGGCTATATACACACGCGCGTATAGTATACGTTATATGTATCTAGTGGCGATCTGCGTCCATGGAAAGTTGTCTCTAACTAGTCGCATTGGTCCATTAGTTCGTCGATCGTGCGCACATTCGCTTTTATAATGTCTGTGTCTGTCTGCTGTGTGGATCTGGCGGAACAGATCACTTATTCTGCATGGTGCTGCTTTACATTTTTTTAAGTGCCAACATTGATGAAAAAAAATCTTTTTTTTTCGCTCGTAATTGCCATTTTCACCTTGTACTTTTAGCCGCGATTACAACGTTAACGATTAAACGCGTACGAGTTAAAGCAGAGATCGAATAAATCCAGATCGGAATCAAAGGCACTCCGGTATACGCAAATGACTCACTTATGTACCCGCGCTATTATTATTCCGATTGTTGATGAATTATTAGAGTGTGTGTGTGCTCGAGCTATCGCATGCTTAATACGTTTTTTCTCTATCATTATATCGAGCGCCATATAAGTCATACTCGCGCGTGGCTGATAATGACCCTAAGGAAGCTCGGTTGTTGCTTTACTAACGATGAAGAGCTTGCGATTATTAATTTTGACGCGCGAGAGCGTGACACGCAAATCACTTATTATTTCGTTTTAACCGCACAGCAAATAGCTCGAGTCGATCTCTGTGCTTTTACGCAAATAGATACACGCCGATAGGATACAAACTTGAAAAAACCAGTTAGTCCTCTACGTGTCTCTCTTTTACTCTCACTCGCGCGCGGTCTTAATACGCGCGACTATACACATAGGCGTTATTATTACATACGCGCACAAATGACACAGAAATTTTGCACGTGCCTTTCAATGCATCTAGTTCTAGTTGTTGCTGCTGCAAGTTAACACACTAATCGCACCTCCGCTCCTTCGACAAATATACTTACATACCGATACGCGAAGAGATTTTACTATCGTTTTTTTTCAAGCTCGCAGTTTTTATTATTAAATTTTACGGTGCTTCGAGCTATGTAGCGTGTGCATGCGTGCTTAATGCGCACAATGCGCGAGATGTACCCGCGAATATATATATAATTCCATTAGAATATGCAAAAACACTCGCGCTGAGGACGCTATTAAAAAGCAAAGGATGACGCGCGCTGCAGCTGTATCGCGTTGAATACGATGTTTTACGCGACCGATGCGAGCTGACTAAACCATAAATTATTTCTTTCATTCGCGTCGCTGTATGGTTTTGTTGCAATTTTTGTGACGTCGAGTGCATATTTCGGGAGCTTTTATATACGAATCATTATTACGCTGGAAAAAGCAGGTCAACGCGACGACGGGAAAAAAAATAATAATCAAAGCTCTTCACTGGGTGTTGTACAGATTTCACGCGTAATAAGCTTTGTTTTTCCAAAGAGAATATAAAGAGCTGCTGCTACGCACACATAACACACACTGACAGCAGTAGTGGACACTTGACAGATATTTTAAACGATCTATGCCCGTGCGTACAACCTGTTTGTTTTACAATTGAAATTTGCGTAATAACTATACACAAGAGAGAGAGACACTATCCTCCTTCTCTTTCACTCGCGCGACGACTCGGTGACGTTAATTTACGAGAAATTTGCGCTGCGTTGTTGTTTATGTGCGCGCGATGGTTTATTGCTCAAGTTCGATCGAGCGCAGCGGCAGCCGCGCCGACAAATGGGCGCGCGCATCGTCGTCATCGTCGCGTTCTCGTGGATGAATGACCACACCGTCGTATAATGTTATATCGCGGAGAAAACGCTATATAACGCAGGGCCGACGCCGACGCGATGTCACAAAAAAATTTCGCTGATTATTTTCCGTAAAAACATATCTCGTCCTTTTGAATTTTTATTATATGGCTCGTCACGTCGACGCGCGGCATGTTTTTGTTGAGACTGCGACACATTCGATGTAAAAAGTGTATATCGATCGATTGACGGCATTACTATCAGTCCTCTCGAGACTCGCGAGTGTTTGTAGAAAAGAAAAAAAGTATAGTATTTCGACGTAACGATCGCGATCAAACGGCTCTATTGTGTTTACGCCGTGTGTAACACATTTATAAGTGCACGTTGTGTTGCTTCGCCCTTCGGAAATCATAACTATGCTAATTCGATAATTAGACACTGCGTGACGTGTGCTCGGTATCTCTCTATATTACATAGGCAAGTGTGCGAGTTGACTGATCACCTTCTTTACCGGCACGAAACAATGATCGGGGAGAGCCTAATGATATTCCTTCTGTGATTGTTTTTTTTTTATTTCATCCGCGTGGAGCGGCCTCCATTTTCAATTGTGTGCTACATTGCAATATGTAATATGTATCTATATCGGCATTTACGTGAATTATTAGGCGCGTTTGATTTATACAATCGCTGCTCCACTCGCGCAATATTTAGCTTGGAATATTGCTACGTTATCTCATTTATCAAATTGCACATATTGGATATTTTAACGCGCATATATTATAACATTGCGTGTATTGATTGTTTGTACTGGGTAATTACAGCAAAAAATATGTAGTAACAAATAGAAAATTAGTGAAGTTGTATGTGAAAGTAAACTTTTTTTAAATTCAATATCTATTAAAGCTTGTATCAACTTAAAGCTATTAATTCAGTCTTATTAAAATTTATAAAATACGGTCGGTCGGTTATTTATAAAAAAAGTAAAATTGCATTAAATGTAACGAAAAACTAAAATGAATCGACCCAAAGAGCGTCGTGTGCGCGTTTTACAAACAAAAAATGATCGTTACATCATACGTCGAATCACAGCGGCTGCTTCTGCTCGGTGATGGCTTCCATCGCCTTTTCCGGCAAGCAGGTCGTAAACGTCACGGGCCTGTAGCTGTCGTCCGTACGATCCTTCGTCGAGTCCCTGTAGCAGAATTGCGCGAAGCAGTACTGGCCCGTGGCCTCGTGCACGAAGAGCTGCGCCGAAGCCCGATCGAAGCCTGTATCGCACCGTCCCGTCGAACCGCTGAACACGATCCGAGGGGCTACGTCGCTCTCGATCCTCGAGACGATGGCGATCAACGAATTTGGACGCTCGCAACGGCTCCCCGGGTCGCCGCACACGTAATGAAGCAGCAGCATGGCGCCGGGCTCGACCAGATTGATCACGGCGAGCTCGTGTCTTCTTTCCACCTGGAGCGAATTCGCCAGGGTCTGCTTGCCGTGACGATCGAACTGCGCGCAAACGATCTGCTCGAGCCTGTTCTCGACGCAGATGCCGATCAGGCCGTTGGCCGTCGAGTAGGCTATGCCGTCGTGCGGATTCGCCAAGTGGGCGTCCAGCAGCTCGTAGCTGCCGACCCGCAGAAGTTGTCCGTTCGTCTTGACGATAGAGGCACGAACGAATACCGGAGTCGAGGTCTTCAAATCGGAGGTCTCGATGAGCAGGTGTCCACCGTCCGGATTCCCGTTCTCCAACGGCTCCAGTATCATGTCGTCGTCCCGTTGGTCCTGGACGAACCACACGAGGGGCGACGCGGACATAACCTGGCCTCTCTCGTCGAAGAACAGCTTGCACCTCGTCACGTTGACACGGCGCTCGGGCGGCGTCATGCACGGCCCCGGCCACGAGCTCGTTACGGCCGCGGCGAACCAATCCTCGTACGCGACGATGTTCGTGGGCGCGTCGGACCAGTCGCGCCATCGGGGCCTGTACGCGGAGCAGTCCTTGAAGTGCACCACCTGCAGACGCCAGCCGCTTCGCATCCTGCTGGAGTACGCCTGCCAGCTGAGAATCGCCTTGTCCGCCATGAAGGGCAGCGCCCGAATGACCTTGGGCTTGAAGTACTCCGAGTAGAGCCAGGTCGGGCAGGTGTACTCGAGACGCTGGTCGCGGTAGCGGCTCACCTCGCACAGCGTCTGGCCGTCGTCGCGGTGGATCAGGTCGCCGCAGTAGACGGTCACCCAGGTCTCGTTCTTGCTGGAGCGACGGTCGAAGTACAGCGTACCCTTCGGGCTGTCCTCGTTCTCGTCGTCGGGGTGGATCTTGGGAGTTATCGCGGATTCCACGTCGGGTATGCAGTGCGTGTAGATCACGGGTCCGTCGGTGTCCGTCCGATCCTTCGGGTAGCCGAGGCAGACGTGCGTGTAGCAGTAGTGACCCGAGTCCAGCTGGAAGAGCTGCGCCTCGCCCCGGTAATACTTCCTGTTGCACGGGTACAGCTCGTTCTTGCGATAAAAATCCGGCGTGACTTTGCCGTTGGCCTCGATTCTCGATACCGAGATCGAGATCGAGTCCACGAGTTCGCACAAGTTTTCCGGGTCTCGGCAGCTGTAACTGAGCAGCAGCATACCGCCACCGGCTAGATTCATCAGAGAGTATTTGTTCTTGCGCTCCACCTGGAGCGACTTCTCGAGGGTCTGTTTGCCGTTGCGATCGAACTGGCTGCAAACGAGTTGCCGCTCGTGACGTAGATTCCCGACGCAGACGCCGATCAAGCCGTTGGCCGTCGAGTAGGCCACGTCGTCGTACGGATTCGCCGAGCGGGTGTTCGACATCATCTCGTAGCTATCGAGCCGCAGCGTCATGCCGTTCAGTTTGACGATGGATACGCGAACCATTACGGACTGTGGTCTCACGATGGTGTCGATAAGCAGATAACCGCTCAACGGATCGTCGTAGTCCAACGGCTCCAGTATCATGTCGTCGTCCCGTTTGGTCTGGTAGAACCAGACGCGGGGCCCGCCGACGAGCTGGCCCCTCTCGTCGAAGTGCATCGCGCACCTCGGCGCGTCGAGATCCGAGTCCGACATCCGGCACGGACTGTCCGGCTCCTCGCTGAAGACCAGCACGATGAAGCTGTTCTCGTTCGCGACGACGCTCACGGGCACGTACCTCCTGTCGCCTAACGTCAGCGCGAGCTCGTGCAGCTCGCAGTCCAGCGAGTCCTTCAGGTGCACGACGCCGAGTCGTCGCCAGCTGGTGGCCGTCGCCGCCGGCTGATCGCCGCTGCTCTCCTCGACGCGCCAGCTGAGGATGGCCTTGTCGTCGCCGAAGCGCACCACCTCCATGGAGTCGGGCCCGAGGGCGCGGCTGCCCACGTTCAGTTGCAAGATGCAGTCGTTGTGCGGGATCTTGGCGCGGACGCTGCTCACCTCGCAGTGGTCGCGGCCTTTCTCGTCCGGCGGAAGATCCGAGCATATGACCTGGACGTAACTCGCGTTCTCGTAGGATCGACGGCCGAAGAACAGGACCGACGTCACCGTCGAGGCGTTGAGACTCGCCGCCAGGAGCAACGCGAGGATTATGTTCGCCACGCGCGACATTGTCTGTACGACAAAAAACAAATCGAGGAAAATTTCAAGGTATCGCGTTGATATTTCGTTCGTGGATTATTGAAATCGACGTGCTAGGCTTACCTTTGTTTACGCGTACTGTCAATAGGGACGTAAGCAGTCGACTGATTGATGGTAACATTATTGTCGTACGATAAATTGCCAGTTTCAAATGCTGGATTTCCTTTGAATTACAACGCTTTTAGTTTTAAATTATTTTCCCTGTTTCTTATTCATTGTGCACGTACTCCAAAAATACTACTTGAATCTTAAGAAAAATAAATTTATACTACTTTTTCAGAAAGTTTTTTTTTTCTTGGGGTTGAACGGTTTTTTGGATATTTACCTATGAAGCTTCAATGTAAGACGTAGGGATTAGTAGAATTTTTAATTGAAACAATGTCTTATCCTGTTAAAAATAATCACACTTTTAGTTGGAAGCTTTTTGCCAATGTATTGGAAGGAGTTTATTTGTTTTGTTCAATTCGTCTATTTACCCCTCACGCAATTCGAAGAGTTTTAATTTATGATTTTGATTCTATAAGATTACTAAGAAAATGATAAAATAATTACGAGAGCTTATCAGTGGACTACTAAATAATCGCATTATTCACAGTTTTAAACGAGACGTGAAAAAATTTGCTCTGATTGTTGCATAAAGAGCTAGAAACTGAATAGAAAAAAATGCACTGAGAGTAGTAATGAGTAGTACGCGTAAACTAAAAATACACTACAACGGCTATGAACCAAGTTGTAACAATAATTTATATCAGGTAAGACTTGATCATTTCGGCACAATTTTAAGTAAAAGAAAACTAAAGTATTTCAAAGTGACGATTCGACCAAACGGCTCTTGTTTCGCCCTTCGTAAATCATAACTATGCTAATTCGATAATTAGACACTGTGTGACGTGTGCTCGGTATCTATTATATCTATATTATATATTGGCAAGTGTGCGAGTTGACTGATCGCCTTTTTACCGGTACGAAACAATGATTGGGAGAGCATATGATATTCCTTCTGCGATTGTTTTTTTTATCTCATCCGCGTGGTGCGGCCTCCATGTTCAACTGTGTACTGCTTTGTAATATGTAATGTGTATTGTATCGACGCTGCGCACGTGAATTATTAGGCGCGTTTGATTTATACAATCGCTGCTCCACTCGCGCAATATTTAGTTTGGAACATTGCTGCATTATCTCATTTATCAAATTGCACATGTTGGATATTTTAACGCGCATATATTAAAACATTGCGTATATTGATTGTTTGTACTGAATTATAAAAAAAGTAATAATTAAAAAATGTAAAATTAGTGAAGTTATAGGCTGAAAATAAAAATCGTTTCTGATAATTTTCGAACATTTTTGATTTCTAGTTTATTGACAGATTTGCTTTATAATTCGTTACAGCTATACGTTCATCAACGTAAAGCTATTATTTATTTATTTCCATTGAAGTTATGTAAACAGCGTACATACAATAATTCAAATGGTCGTTAGCTATACTTCATTATTTTCTTCATTATTCTCTTCTTTATTCTCTTCGTTATTCTTTTCATTATTCTCTTCATTATTCTCTTCATTATTCTCTTCATTATCGTCTACATTATTGTCTTGATAATCGTTTGAATTATCGTCTTCATCGGAATTTCTGGAGGACCATATCACTTGCAACTCAGTATCAACGGTTTCGTTAGTAGCACGTGTCCGGCAACGTTTTGAAAAGAAATATACAAAGAACAATATTACTAAAAGTAATGCAACAACGTAACCACCGTAAAATAGTACATCGTAGGACCAATGTCCGAGGTCGATAGAACCAATGGCGTTGTCTTCGAGCCATGCGTCGGGCAAGCACATCGTGACCACCTCGGGCCTGTAGTTGCCCTCGGTCTTGTTCTTCTTCGAGTCCCTGTAGCAGAATTGCGCGTAGCAGTGCTCGCCCGTGGCCTCGTGCACGAAGAACTGGCCCGTGGCCCGATTGAATCGCCTGTCGCATTGCAACGTCGAATTCATCAACGGCGTCCCGAGCACGCTATCTACGTCGTGGTCGATCCTCGAGGCGATGAAGACCGACCACCAGTCCATGTACGAAACGAAATGAAGCATCAGCATGGAGCCGGGCATGGGCAAATTCATGATGGCGAAGCCCTCGGCTCGCTGCACCGACCTCTTGGCCAGCGTCTGCGTGCCGTCACGATAGAACTGTTCGCAAACGATGTTCTTGGTGTCGTTCCTGACGCAGATACCGATCCAGCCGTTGGCCGTCGAGTAGGCTATGCCGTCGTGCGGTTGTTTCCAATGGGCGTCCCAAAGCTCGTAGCTGCCGAGCTCGAGCAGTTCGCCGCTCCGTTGGACGATGGAGGCACGAACGATTACCCGAATCGAGTTACCGGTGCTCATTCGTTTGGAGGTCTCGATGAGCAGGTGTCCCGCACCGTCCGGATTCTCCTTTGACAACGGCTCCAGTATCATGTCGTCGTCCCGTTCGGTTTGGTAGAACCAGACCCCGGGTCTGTGGCGGACGCGTGCCTCGTCGTCGAAGAGCATCCAGCACCTGGGCACGTTCTTTCTCCTGTCCCACTGGATGGCGCACGGGCCGCGTCGCGCGCTCGTCACCACCGCGGCGAAGCTGTCGTTGCCGTGCGCGACTACCTTGACGGGCACGCAGTACGAGTCGTCGCCGGACCAGTCGGTGGGGTACACGGAGCAGTCCTCGAAGTGCACGACTCTCAGCTGCCAGGCGCAGCCGTGATGGCGCTCCAGCCACCACAGTACGACCTTGTCCTCGGTCAGCGGCAGCATTCCGATTGTGTCGGGCTCGAGATCCTTCCTGTACAGCCAGACCTCGCAGGTGCGCTCGAGGCGACCCGGTCGGTCGCCGCGCCAGCGGCTCACCTCGCACAGCGTCTGGCCGTCGTCGCGGTGGATCCTGTCGGCGCAGAAGACGGTCGTCCAGGTCTGGTTGTGGTAGGAGCGCTGGTCGAAGTACACCGCGCCCTTACGCTGGACCGCGTACTCGTAGTCGCATCTATAGATCGTCCCGTCTTCGGTGCGCAAGCAGTCCTTATTTTTGACGTAGTCGTCGTCGTCGTCGTCTTCTTCGTAGTAGTAGCGGTCGTGGCGGTGTAAGGCATTCGCCTCAGCTTCCGAAGCGGGTAGGCAGTCCGTGTAGATCAGGGGCGTGTGCGCGAGCACATCCTTCGGGTAGCCGATGCAGACGTGGGTGTAGCAGTTGCGACCGTTCGCGCGCTGGAAGAGCCGCGCCTCGGCCCGATAAAGCTTCCTGTCGCACGGGTACAGCTCGTTCTTTCTGTAATGAGACGTGAGGAATCCACACTTGATCCCGATTTTTGTGATCGAGATCGTGATCGAATCCACGAGTTCGCACGAGTTGTCCGGGTCGCGGCAGCTGTGACCGAGCAGCAGCATGCCGCCACCGGCTAGATTGACCAAGGAGTATTGGTTCCTTTGCTCTGTCCTCTGAACTTTTTTGAAGATCTGTCTGCCATGGTAATCGAACTGGCTGCAAATCATCTGATACTGCTGTCCCTGCAGGTTCCCGACGCAGACGCCGATGTAGCCGTTGGCCGTCGAGTAGGCTATGTGGTCGTATGGGCTCGTCGTCGGATTGAGCTGATAAGTCGCAAGCCGGCGAAAGGTGTTGTCCCCAATGATGACCCACACGTGAACCAATATGGTCTGTGGTAAGACAGCGGCTTCGATCCACAGATAGCCATATTCCGAGGTTTCGTCCAACGGCTCCAGTATTACGTCGTCGTCCCGGTTGGTCTGGCGGAACCAAACGTGGGGCGGGGTGGAGGCGTCGCCTACGCCGAAGAATTCCATAGCGCACCTCGGCACGTTGAAGTTCGAGTCTGGCATCCAGCACACACTATACGGCGTCTCGCTGAAGATCATGACGACAAAGCTTTCCTTGTTCACGATGAATCTCAGAGGCTGGATATCGGATGGATCAGTCCATCCAACCATCTCGACTGGACTCCGGCCGATCTCCGTGGGTTTGTGCCGGTCGCATTTCTTCATGTCCACGATGTGGAGTCGCCAGTTGGTCTTGGCGTCCATGCCCAGCACCCGCCAGCTCAGGATGACCTTGTAGTCGCCGTAGCGCACCACCTGCAAGGAGTCGGATGTGAGGCCACGGGGCCCCGTGTCCAGTAAAAAGCTGCACTCCCGCGCGGTGTAGATCGTGTCGAGGACGCCGCCCACTCTGCAAAGAGTGCGGTTCTCCACGTCTTGCGGGCCGTGATCGCAATTGACCTCCACGTAACTCGCGTTCTGGTAGGATTGCGAGCCGAAGAACAGGATGGACGTCACCGTCGAGGCGTTGAGGCTCGCCACCACGAGCAATGCCAGAATGAATTTCGCCTCGCGCGACATTGTCTGAACAAAAAAAGAGAATCGAGGAAAATTTCACAATGTCGTATTAATATTTTGTTCGTAGATTATTGAAATCGACGTACGAAGCTTACCTTTGTTTATGCGTACTGCCAATGGCGACGTAAGCGGTCGACTGACTAGATCTTCTTTGAATTGAAACGTTTTTGGTTTGAAATTATATTATTGTTTCCCTTTCTCAATCATTGCGCACGTATTCCAATGAGACAATTAAATCTCGAGAAAAGTCTTTGTTTGATTTGTTATTATCGATCACATCTCACTTAGCAGAATTAAATAGTGAGCAAAATTTATCTTTTATTATGGCTTATTTCACGGGGCAATACAACATTCGAATCAATTTGTTTTTATTATAAACATGATCGATGTGTATTGTTTACAATTTAGGTGCCGATTTATCTGCTTATACATTATCCTTATAATATTTTTAAAATTACGATTTAAAATTATAACTTAGTAACAATTTCTTTCGAGAAATTTTCTCAAATTGATCTTTATACACATGTACAAAATACAATTTCATTCGTTCTAAAATTTGCCGCCCTTGCGTCATGGCGAGAGTGGCAAGTCTTCATAACCCACCACTGTGCCCGAGCTAAGAAAAAAACTCGATCGATCGTGGCTAATACATCACTCGATCGTAATATTAACATCGAGAGTACGACGAGAAAGTTGACGATTCCATCGGTTTTAGTGTTTATCTTCCTCGATTCTTTTTTTGCACCGCGTCTTCGAGCTCATTCTGACTAAAAAGAAAACGTAACCGCGTAATACCTCAATTTTTTGACGATCGTTTATACGCTCGTACGCCCATCGAACGAATAAAACGCAAAATATACGTTCGATTCTGCCCGTGCATCGTAAATTTTGTTTTTACGTTACATATTCTCTTGCGTCGGCCGCCCGCGCGACCGAGACACAGACGCGGACAAAATCGAGGAAAGCACTCGCGGCGTCCGAAACGTTACTTTCGCCAATATCGTGGTCCTTAGCGCTATCGACAAGTAGGTCGGTGGCGTGCGAGTATATTTTGTTTTTTTTTGGCTACGTTTAGGCGTCGTTATCTGCGTGTGTGAGAACCAAAATCATTGCGCTCGTAAAAACGTCGCTCTCTGCCCGCAATCGTCGCGAGTTTAGAAAATATATCGTGTAGCGCCGCCGATGACTCGCTAAACGCGAGAGGTTTGGACTTTAAACTTTTAGCGATGATTTAGCCGTACTTTGAATGCTCGAATCATGCTCCGATATACCGATGTGCCCGTGTGTTTGTGAATCAGCTCGCTTGCGTTCAAAAATACATTCTCTCCTTGCACTTTGCCGATTTTTTTTTCACTTCGCTGGAGATATTTGATGCCTCGATCGTGCTATACACGAGCTGTGTTTCGTAACGCGTCGCGACGTGCATGTGCTTATTTGGAATGCGCGGAAGTATTATACGCCGTTCATATGCTGCGACGCGAAAGAAGAATCGTGAATATTGCGCGCCGAAAAAGCAGAAGAAGCGAGTTTGAAAAGTGTCTTCGCATCCTCGGTATTATGTAGATTATTCACGTTTCTTTGACGCAATCTCATCGCCGGTGTGATAATGTGACGCGCGAAAAAGACACATACACGCAGAATATAACTGTTGTCGTTCGATTATATAAAATTGAAAAAAGAAGGAAGGAGAGGACGTATAGGCGAGATTTTGGGATATTCGACGCGTCGCGTTACGTAGGAGTATATGATGTCATCGAACACCTGGATTATAATTTTTCGATAAATTTCTCTGAGCTTATAAAAAATACACACGGGCAGAATCGTAATCGGGCAATGTAGACCTAGCGTATATATAAATTGAGTCGCCGCGTGCACCCCGCAGCCGACACGCTTCGATTGAAAATCATTTGAATTTTATTGACCATAGCTTTTATATTAAGTGTGAAATGCCTTCTCGACTGCGCGCTGCACTCGCGCAATATTACAAGCCTCTCTCGAGAGAGAGTTGTGTGTTGTATAGATTTTATTGCCCCGAGAATTTCAATATGAGGCATTTCATGCGAAGTGTCCTAGCGCTTCGCCGCGCGGCCCAATTAAGCGAAATCACTCAGTTTCTAACTCACGTAAAAAGTATCAAAATATACTCAGAAAAAATAACTAACTAATGATTTCGATAGGAAATTTCCTCAGCTTTCCGATGGTGTGGTCAGATTTTCCGAAATTTTCCATTTTCCCCGGAAAAATTTGACATAAAGTTTAAAACGCAAATATCTCAAAAAGCCCATTTTTAAGATTTTTTTAAATAGTCCCAATCGAAAGCTGAGGAAATTTCCTAACTGTATGCAAGTTTTCAGAGTGTGCAATTGATTATTACTTAGTGAAACACAGCTGTGAACATCGGGCGCTCGGCCGCGCGGCGGTATGACGCCAGCCGCCGCGCCGTCAGCCATCGCGCGGCACCCACTGCCCTATTCTTGTGTATGACACGACTCTAATTTCTCTTTAAAAATTAAACAAATACATGATTTCGATGTATTTTTTTCTCAGCATTTCAATGGTGCGGTCAAATTTTCCAAAAATTTTCGTTAATTCCAAAAATCGTTTAATTTTCAACTCGCTGTAAAAGTACCTAAGTGCACCTTGAAAAATAACTATCACTCTATTCCGATGGAAAATTGTCTCAGCTTTCCAATGGCGAGGTCGAATTTCCCGAAATTTTCCATTTTCACCGGGAAAATCGTCGAGAACTCTATAAAACTGACTATCTCAAAAACGACTGAATATTTTGAGTTAGAAAGTTTATGTCAAGTTTTTCCGGAGAAAATGAAAATTTTTGGAAAATTTGACCGCACCATTGAAATGCTGAGAAAAAAATACATCGAAATCATGTATTTGTTTAATTTTTAAAGAGAAATTAGAGTCGTGTCATACACAAGAATAGGGCAGTGGGTGCCGCGCGATGGCTGACGGCGCGGCGGCTGGCGTCATACCGCCGCGCGGCCGAGCGCCCGATGTTCACAGCTGTGTTTCACTAAGTAATAATCAATTGCACACTCTGAAAACTTGCATACAGTTAGGAAATTTCCTCAGCTTTCGATTGGGACTATTTAAAAAAATCTTAAAAATGGGCTTTTTGAGATATTTGCGTTTTAAACTTTATGTCAAATTTTTCCGGGGAAAATGGAAAATTTCGGAAAATCTGACCACACCATCGGAAAGCTGAGGAAATTTCCTATCGAAATCATTAGTTAGTTATTTTTTCTGAGTATATTTTGATACTTTTTACGTGAGTTAGAAACTGAGTGATTTCGCTTAATTGGGCCGCGCGGCGAAACGCTAGGACACTTCGCATGAAATGCCTCATATCCGTTTTTTTTTTGCTTCAGGTATACTGCCGAGTTGCGCATGTAAGCTTCGGTATATATAATATTAATATGTTTATAATATCTCGTATCGATGAAATATTTATTGCCTTTGAAATGCTCGTTCAACAATTCGAATTTGTTAAGATAGTTGAAAAATGTACGCCTAATTGGTTTATACTCTGTATGTATCCCTTTTTTTCGCTCTCTCTCTCTCGTAATTCACGTTTAATGCGCGAGTATATAAGAGGTGACACCGCGCGACTGTTGACTCTCGGGATATTACTCCGCGCGCGAGTCGACTTTAATGAACTCCTCTATGCGAAAGCTTATGATATTATGGATCACGAGTGCGCGCGCGCGAATATGTCACGAGGTAAACGAGAAAAATTATTGCCTCCGCTGACTCTTATCTCCGAGCGTTAATAAGAAGTGCAATTCAGAGAGCTCCGCGCGCGCACACACACATTCAGTCATTAACAATCGCATCCTTAGAAAGATAAGGTTTTTTTTTCACCTCTCCTTATTTTTTTTTTGCCGTATTTTAATTTGCATGAAATAAATCTCGTAACGAGCGCGTTATTACGTCACCCGCCACGATCGTGCACGCATTTATATGACATTATTATATAGCCGCGCGCTACATGGCTATATATGCGACAACTTCAACTTTAAATCTTACGTTTTTTTTCTTTCTCTCTCTCTCGTCTTGTGTCCGATGAGTAATGAACAATGCCATTGTCTTTTGCGTGCGTGCGTGCCTATGCGTGTGTGTGTGTGCCATGGTTTTCTCCTCTAAACTTTGAAATTAGCAAAGAATGTTTTCCTATTCAGCCGAGACAATACTCCTATTATCGTGTAATATAGAGACTCTCTCGATGCCGTGAGTCTAAAACATCCGGCATAGTACGTATCTGTTTCCAAATGTAAAAAATTGCCGCGGCCAAAAATACGACTGTGACCAAACACACTTTTTTTTAATATTATAATGTTTAAGTCAAATACGCAGACCGACGTTTCGAATTCTAAGGTCTCTGGCGATGTATACACACACGCGATACTCCGTACGTAACGCGTGCGTTGAAAAATATTTGCGCGGCCTCGTGCGTATTATACGTGTGTGTGTGTGTGTGTGTGTGTGTGTGCATACACGCGAAGAATGAATACGAAAAATAAAAGCAAAAAGTCAGAGAGACAGATAAAAAAAGTGCATCGAGCGCCTTGGGTCGGTCGCGCGCGCAAACGGCCCCACCGACATTGTAAGGCAATTAGCGGCGTGTTACATTGTGAAGATGCTGCAGCAGCGGCACGCAAGCTTACGTATATATAAGTACAGCACACGCAAAGGAGAGACAGAGAGAGAGAGAGAGAGAGAGAGAGAGAGCCGCGCGCGTTTGGATTATAGCGAAGCTTGCGCAATTTAAAAGGGCGGCGGCGGCGGTACGCGCTTCTCTGTGTATGTGTGTAACGTGTGGCGCAAAGGTATTTCGCTCCTAATGCTGTATAAGAGAGAGAGAGAGAGAAGTTGTGGAGCGTGGAAAATTATAGCTTTTCGGTTCATTTTGTAGAGGATTCTTACTTTTATTTTGCTTATAGGCTGGCTCGAGAGATATACGAGCTTTTGAAATTCCAATATGTATTTATGTGGAATCGAAGCGCGCGTATAGATAAAATAGTCGAAAAGATATATAAAAGCTCGCGTTACATACGATCGTAAAGTAAATTGAACGAAATTTACGCGACACACACACGCAGCTGACACACACGTTTGGTGTATCACGTGTGAAAATCTATGCAGAAATATTATAAGAATCTACGTAGCGTACAACACAGTAGTAAGTGTGTATCTGTGAGTTACTTGTCTCTCTCTCTCTCTCTTTTTTCTGCTGTGTGTTATATTATCCATATGTATCGGGCGGTAAAATGCGATTATCGCGAAAAAAGATCGAGGTGAGAAGATTAAATCCACTTAGTAGAGCTGCTGCTGCTGCTGTTACTGCTGGCGCTGTGTTGTGCTGCTGCTGCTACCGCTTCGCGCGCGCGCGAGAGTGCATAGACCTTTCACTCGCGCGCGGCACACACGGCGCTGCAGCAGCAGCAGCACTCCGCGCATGCCTCTCTGCTGCAGCCGCAACGAGGCACTCGGTCGCTATATGCACCACCGCCTCCTCTTTCCTCCTCCTCCTCCTCATCCAGCTGTTTTACCGGCAAAGCCGCGCGGTTGATGTCGCTCGTCGCCGGGCGCAGAATCGATAACATTCCTCGCGAGCGCACGACTACGACGAAGCCGTATTATAACTGCGCGCGATTCGTTCCCGAGATTCCTGCGCGATAATTGATATAAAGGAGTTTTGCTTTTCATGCAGCAACAGCAGCACTTGTATCTTTTACCATCGGTTGCGATCCGAGCGCGTGGATCGCGATTCGGCGCGCTCTGCATCGCGAGCCATACAAGCTTATATACGACTGCAGCAGCAGCAGTTTTTCGAGTGCAATTATGTATTATATATATAGGCATAGCAGCAGCAGCAGCAGCACACACCGAGTGGCTCTGCTGCATGTATGTATACAGACAGAGTGAGGTGTACTGGGAGGGCGCCTGCTCACGGCGTCGGCGTCGGCACTCCTCCTCTTTCGTACCTTCGTCTCTCTCTCTCTCTTCGTATACGTTCGTGTGTTTGTATGTGTGTACGCTGTACATAATATTGCACTGCAGCGGCAGCCAAGTCACGTACATATACACACCTCTATTCGCTGTTGCTGCTGCTGTTGCCGAGCAAAGGTGAGAGACCTGCGAGTGTGCGGTGCAAAAGACGCATAGCCGAGTGCGCGCAGCAGCAGCAGCGGCGAGAAACGAGAGAGAACGAGAGAGAGAAGGCGAGAGGAGGCGGCGAGAGAGAGAGAGGAGGATGAAGCCCGGGAGAGAAGCATAATATTACCCGCGCGCGCCGTATAGTAGTGCAGCGCGAGATGTGTACGAGGGCAGAAGGATCATGCGGAGGTGGTGACGACGATTCCTCCTCCTCGCCATGCTGCTCATCAGCTTCCTCGTGCTGATCTTCGCCGTGCACTGGATATCCCAGCGGGTCGTGAAAATCGTCCAAGATGAGGAGGCGGAGAGCCCGAAGATCTCCGTAGACGAGGTCGATCGAGTGCCCATAGTGCTCAGGAAGAGAAGAAAGGTCTGTGTTGTCGTCGTAGCTCTAGCGCAGTGTGTGTGCGTGTGCGTGATGCAAGTGTCGTGCGTACATACTATATAGTAGTCGCCCACACACACGCGCAGGCATTGTATATATGCGTAGGTTCCTATGGTGCTAAGTGCGTAAACTCTCCGTTCTATTCTACCGCCTTCCATTCTTCATTAATAAAATTAGCAAAGAACGATCCGTAGGAAGAGCTGTGGAGTGCGAATAAAAAAGTGCTCTAGTTCTCGCGCGTGGATATAGGAAAGCAGGAAGAGAGGAATTACTATTATACGCGATGCACCGAACAGTAGTATTATGTATAGCAGAAGGGAGATGTTCTCTTTTGACGTATGGTGTGCGCCGCCGGCTTGTATGTTTGTGTCTGTGCGTTATGTACAAAAATATATATACGGAGCAGCGGCGGTGGCGCGACTCGTTCGTCCCTGTGTATACAATGTATATAGGTGTGTGTATACTGTATATATGCGTGCGGTGCGGTTTGTTTACCTCTAAAGAATTTAAAGGGCCAGGCGGCGGATAAGGCGACGACCTTTAAACGGACGCTCGCGAGCACGCTTATAAGCGGCGGTGAACGTGATCTTGCCTCAGCGATGCTGGCTTATGACTTTTTTTTTAATGCGTTCACCGACGACGACGACGACGACGACTCGTGTATAAAGGATAATTCTTTTTTTGTCGTTGCTTAAATTATGCGGAGATGAAGATTCGAATTGGTTTCTCTCGGTGCCCGTATATGTATCGAGACAGCCTAAGATAAGATAGCGCTAAAACGCATCGGAGATTATTACATTACTTACGTCTATTTGCACTGGAACAATATCGCGCCTGTTTCCGATCGATTTGTGTCATCTATTTATATACACTCTATTATATATCTATTATATCTCAAGGATCGATGATTAAACGTTACTTTATTTTTCTCGTTCGCAGGCCAAATCGGAGGAACACTTGGCGCAGGAGCAGGCATGGCTGGCGGCGGAGCGCGTCTGGTTGCTGCATCGCGGGGGCTTCACGGCGGCATCGAGATGCCCGAGCCCCGCCGATCCGGACACCGGCAAGCTGCGCATCAGACTCGTCGGCTCCGGCGAGGAGCTGCTCGTCGACGAGGAGGATGTAGAAAAGGTACGTAGTGTATAGAAATTCTAGTTTTCTCATTAGCGAACGGAGTATATGATAATTATTATATACGTACGTTCGGTTATGTCATATAATCTTTTATAAGAAATACGAGGCGTTCGCGATCGAGTTGCTGCTGCGGCTAGCGTAAGAGGCCAATCTTGTAATACGCGTTGTGCGAGGGATTACTGCGCTTATTATACTTGACACATGTAGAACGAATCCTATATATAATACGTGCATGTGTAATGTATATCGGAGCTAGTCCAGTGGGATAGTATCTATAGATACGTTTTTTTAATCTCTGAAATAACATTAAGATGTGGAAGTGCTTATTTAGATGTAATTATTACATGTAATATTTTAATTTCACAGGCGAATCCACCGCAATTCGACCGATCGGAGGATCTGTCGCAGTTGCGCTTCCTCAACGAGTCGTCGGTGCTGCACACCCTGCGCCAGCGGTACGCCAGCAATCTCATTCACACTTACGCCGGGGACAGCATGATAATCATCAATCCGGCGGCACCCCTCGCCATTTATTCGGACAAGGTCGGTTCATGCACTTTTCACGCCTACGTCCATTATTTAATCGCAATATTTTCTAATCTCAAATGTCGTTTCTCAGGTGGTGCAGATGTTCAAGGGCTGCAAGAGCGAGGACATGCCGCCGCACGTGTACGCCATGGCCCAGTCGGCGTATCGGGGCATGCTGGCCAGCCGCCGAGACGCCTCGCTCGTCTTCCTCGGCCGTAGCGGCTCCGGCAAGACCAGCAACTTCAAGCACGCGCTGCACTACCTCGTCGTGGCGGCCGGGGCCGTCAACAAGGTCGTCACCCCGGAGAAGCTCAACGCCGTGTTCAGCGTGCTCGAGTCGTTCGGCAACAGTCGCACCCACATCAACGTCAACGCGACGCGCTTCACGCAGCTCTTCAGTCTGGACTTCGATCAGTCCGGACAGATAGCCTCGGCCTCGGTGCAGGTCATGCTGCTCGAGAAGTCGCGCGTCGGCCGGCGCCGCGTCAACGGCGACCCGACCTTCCACGCGATCTATCGGCTGCTCGCCGGCGCCGAGGGCAGCCTGCGCAAGGAGCTCCACCTGACCAATCTCGTGAACGAGACCAACGGCAACGCCAATCCCTTCATCACCCCGTTGCAGAAGCACGAGGACAAGCAGCGCGCTCAGGTCGAGTTCAACAGGGTGGTGGCGGCGTTCCGCGTTCTCGGCATCAGCGAGGCCGAGGAGCGTGCCATCTGGTTCGTGCTCGCCGGCATCTATCATCTGAGCTGCGCCGGTGTCGTCAAGACCCAGTCCAGGTGGCAGTTCGCGCGCGCCGAGTACGCCGCCCACGCGGCCAATCTCCTCGGCACGACCGTCGAGGAGCTCAGTCGTACCGTGTTCTCGGTCAACAATTCGGTCGCGGGACAGAACCAGTCGAATCAGCGAGGCAGCAACAGTCTGAGAACACCCAGTCCAACGGACCCCAACAAGGACTACGCTGGATTGGATGGTCTGGAAGCTCTACTCGTTGGCCTCTACCACGAGGTCTTTCTTTGTGTAGCTGCTCTAGTCAACAGGTTTGTAAATCTGGCAATTTGAATTATTATTTGAATTAGACGAAAAATCGACGTGTATTTAATTATGAAAAAATGTTGCAGGTCGATAGGCTCATCAACGCACACGGTGACATCGTTGCTGCTCTGCGACGCGCCTGGCTTTCAAAATCCGGCAACGTGCGGACGTCAGACGGGAGCTAGTTTCGAGGACCTCTGTCACAATTATTTGCAAGAGCGACTGCAGCTTTTGTTTCATCACACTACTCTAGTTGCACCCAAAGATAGGTACGTCGTGCAATTCGTTAGATCTAAGATTTAAAAAAAATTTTTCAAAAAAATATCAAAATTTATTGTTTTGTGCAGATACGCGCAAGAAGGAATAGATATCGATCATGAAGACGAAATAGAGGAAGGCGTTGGATCACCCCAAGCCTTAGTGTCTTTACTAGACCGAGGAAACTCGCAAAGTGCCACGATGTTACGTACAAGCCAAAGCGATCTCAGCAGCAGTCGACAGATTGAGAGAAAAGGGCTGTTATGGCTGCTCGACGAGGAAACAGTACTACCTGGTGGAAGCGACGAAAGCTTCTTAGATAGGCTTTTTACACATTATGGAGATAGAGGTAAGAGAATTACAGTTTATGTCTAAACTTCTCGGACACATACTGAAAAATTATTAATTCCAAATTTTTCTCCAGATCATCAGACGCTGCTGAGAAAAGCGCCAGGAAACAATCAATTTGTGCTACAACATTTACAGGGTACAAATCCCGTTCTCTATACTGCAACAGGATGGTTAAAAGCAACTCGCGAAAATCCTTTAGCTAAAAGTGCAATAAGTCTTCTACAAGAGAGTAATCGGTAAGAAATGTCGATGAACGCAATATACTACGTTTTTACTTGAAATCTTCATAACTATTATAATTAATGTATTTTCAGGGACGACATTAGTCGCATATTTGTTTACGCTCGAGGTGCTGGGATATCCGGTGCCTTGAGCGGTTCGATGCATGGATTAGAAGGTTCACAAACTCTGCGGCGAGTTTCTAGTATAAGGCGTACCTTCCCCGCGGTTAAGCGAAAAAACATTGGTCTGCAAGTTAAATACACTGTGGTGAGTGTCATAATTTCTGATATGAAAAAGGACTAGAATTTGTTCAATAAATAAAAATGAAATTTTTTGCAGGACGGTCTCATCGAGACTTTAAGAAGAACACGAGTGAAATTTGTTCATTGCTTTTTGCCTCAACACAATGCTGGTTGCATTGAAAACAAAACTTTCCTTGCTGCCAAACCCGGCCAAAGTGAGGACAATCTCATTAATGTTCCATTGCTTCGTTCACAGGTAAATTTTAAAATTTAAAGTTTTTGATAGATTTATTTGATTTAGATTCTCGTAATCTCATTTTATACCGACCGAGTTTTGTGAATCGTTTTTATTTTATCATTTTTTCTATTTCGAGTTTTGGAAAACAGACCTGTCTACAACTTCGAATTGTTGCTTTGAAAATCTGGTCAAAACTTTAGCCCATTTCATCCAAATTGTAGAATCTGTTTTCAAACTAGGTGTCTAAAGAAATAATGGGAAAAGCAGAACAGCTGCTTTTCGAAATCGGATTATAAAGAAAAAAATTAAATGAGTAATTTTTAATACTGAGTCGGTAGCAATTGGAGTTAACTTAATATGAACCTTGAAACTACTGATTTATACAAAATTCAATAATAAAACTCAAAAAAGCGGTAATTAAAAACATTTTTTTCCATTTGTTACATACTAAATTTCTGTTTTAGGTTCGAGGTAGCCAAATACTGGAAGCCGTACGCCTTCATAAGGTCGGTTTTCCAAAATTCATGCCTCTTGGCGAATTTCGTCGCCGTTTTGCTCTGTTATCGTGTGATTCGAATATTCGTCCTGGAAGTCCAGTTCCCGACGAACGCCGAGCCGTCGAAGACATGTTGCTGTCCGTCGACGTGGATCCTGCAACTTATCGCGTCGGACAAAGTCAGGTAAGCGTGTATGAACTTTTGATTGCTTTTTAGTTGTTTTTCAAATTTTATCAAGACCGTGTGGTTCTTTCAAAGGCCAAGTCATTAAATTACTCGAATTAATTGTACGCTAATTACCGGAAATATGTACTATCGATGTAAATCGATACAACTTATTGCTATAGATATAACGATTTCCCATGTTTTGATAGTGCAGAAACTTTATGTAAAGATAAGCGCCACTTTCAATTTTACCGACAGAGCCAGAATAGAATGTATGAACTCTGCTCACGTACCTTCAGTGGTACTTTTTCGATAAGATATTTTGTCTTGTAATTGCAGCTCGTAATTTGTGTTTAAATATAAATTGCCCCACAAGTACCGAAACGGAATTCACGGCACGTTATCTTAAAGATGAAAAGTGCATTAGTACATTTTTCATTGGATACGAGAGGCATTAGACGAACGACAATGCTTCGTCTTAATTTAGGTTTGAAACGCGATCATAAACACTTTACCCAACTTTCTAATCGCTTATCACGCGGGTTTTTCAAAAGTAAAATCGCACATCACGGACATTAGAAATTTCGTTTTGTGCACACATCCCGACACGTACGTTAAGTTTTTTTATTTTACTTTTTTAATCAATCAGAAATAAGCGCACATAAGTACTTACACTCGTTGCGCTTCCATGATCGATTAATTACCATGCTCACCTCTTAAACGCGCAAGCTCGTGACAATCTCCGATCCGCGTATACGGTACATTTGTATATAATATAATAATCACTGCCGTGCTTCGACGCGATTATCGCCTCCGCGCGCGTCCAGTCTTAATTTCGCGCGCTGCTCGGCCAAAATAAAACGACATCATAACGATTTCTTTCCGCTTCGTTGCGCGACCCGTTGGCCGTCGGACGCATGGCTCTTGTATATCTATATCGCGTACAATATATATAATATAATTTTACGATATTGAATCGTCCACACGTATTCGCGCGCGCGCGTGATGGCTTGGAAAAGGTTTTTCATGCCCGTGCTGCATTTTGCTTTCTCATAGTCGATTTATATATAAACAGAGCGACGACGGCGGACTTTCGAGCCGTATATACACCGTATAACGTACGTGTGTGCCAGAGAGGAGAGCTTCGGATTTATATACAACCTGTGTAGTGTGCGTGTGTGTGTGTGCATGTGCACACTGCACCGCGTGTCTTATAAGAAGAGTCGCGCGTGGGAAAGCTTTCACACTTTCTCGCGCGGGTGCAGTGCGCGCCACGGCCGAAGCGCCGCGAAACTTCGCTTGTGCTGCTGTTGCTACAAATATAAAAGATTATTTAGCAATTGTTATAGCCTCCGCGCCGCCTTTCGTATATACATAAATGTGTACTTTGTTATTTTGCGGTCCTTTCATTACCATTACATTCATTATCTAAAGCAGATTGGTTCTGATCCGAACAATGACTTTAAGTTTTTTTTCTCTTCTTCTCTTTTCATAGATCGAAATTTAAGATCTTTCTCTCTTGACATCACGAAAGCACGAACACACACGTTCACAATGGCCATCGAATTAGATTCTCACACCGTGCGCCAGTATACGCGTGCGGCGTTTATTCTTTCTACGCATATCTCTCTCTCTCTATTTCTCTCTCCCGCGAGGTGCGAAGAAAAGTTGGAAATTCTTCGTTTTATCTCTCGCGCATGTGTCATAATCCGCCTCTTTCTCTCATAAACCTCGGACTCTCTCATCTCTCTCCCTTGGAAAAATCAAACGTATCCCCGTATAACATAAATTTCTCTCAACGCACGTACGTACTTATGTATCTGAAAATGCCAGTACTTTATGTATACGTGCAGCGTGTAAAGTGCAAAGATCGCAGCAGCGCGAGCTTATTTAGCGGCGGAGAGTGCCGCTCGACTCGAGTCGTACACATTATTGTACGAGCGCGGGGGGCGGCGGCGGCAGCGGGGGTAATACACCTATAGCCGTATTATCCTCTACCTATACGCAGCAGATAATTGAATCTTGCGCGCGCGAGTGCCGCCGCCGCCGCGAGAGAGAGAGATCTCGTAGAGATATATACGCACTTTTTCTGCGTTTGTAGTCGCGTACGTGCGCACGGCGCATAATATAGTTCGTTGACTCGCTCTGTTTTTTTTTCTTTCATTTACCTCCTCCTCCTCCTCCCTTTAGTTGCTGCTGCAGTACCGAGCGAAGTGCACTTCTCTCTCTCTCTCTCTCTTTTTACGAGTCTGGCCTTGGAATTGTTCGCTGATCTTGCGTATGGTAGCGTATACAGCACGCGCAGCGCGTCGCATCTGGTTATATAGTTTTTCTCTTGCTGCGTGCGTGCGTGCGTGCGCACTCGTCGTTTTTCTCGCATTATCAACGGCCTATGGTCGCCAAACGTATTGTTTCCTTGAACTTCGAGTGCCGCGCGCGTATTATGCGCTCAAAATCAATCTCGGCTTTATAGAGATGGAGAGCGTAGCGAATAGACGGACAAAAGTAGAGTGTCACCCTACGGGCGTTATTAATGATCCGGAGCTTTTGATTAAGTACCTGTGTCTATTGTGAAAGAAAAAAAGGAGGTAAAATAAGAAGCTCGACAATTACAATACACGTGTACGCAACATTGATAGGGAGAGCAGCAGCAGCAAATGGCATACAAAGAGCGAGATTATTATTACTTTTTTCCCTTTTTGATTTTTTTTTGGTCCAGCAATGGTACATATAACGCGAATGAATTACCTCTTTTCTCTCGCCGAGAGATACACGTTGCAGCAGCAGCAGCAGCAGCAGCAGCAGCAGCCAACGCAGTGATCGAGATTAATGTTCGCTTCGATTCAACCTGACAATGTGGCTTGTGCCCGCGCGTGGTGGCATGTCTATGCGCATAAAATGTTATACTCGTTGCATGTATACGCGTACAATGCGATTTTGTGTCTTTCATATTATGCGGAATGCCGATAATCTGCTTCGCTCGCGTGATCATTTTTATAGATTCATACACGGAGAAAAATGTATAATAAGTATTCTTATTATTAGAAGAAAAATTACTATAATGCTTAGTACTCGTGGGACATCTAAGCGTTGTGATGATTTCTGTTTTTATAAAAATAATTTTTACAACAATTTTATTAAATTATTGCTAAAAAATATAGTAAAATTTCATCTATTACATAATTTAATCCTTATTTTATTAATATTTAATATATGTTTGGGAAATTTTATTAGAATAAGAATGAAAGTTGAAATTATTGTAGTAAATATTCATAGCTACTATAGTAAAAATTCTATAGATAAGCGATTCGAACAGTTTACATCAACTGACGCTAGGAGCGCGAACGCGAAATAGACCACTCAGTGTGTGCCCCGCGCATACGTGCAAAAACGTAACCCCTACGTAATACGAGTCCTTGAAGTTACATAAAAACTCGACTAGTCTCAAGGAAACGTTTTTGCTTGACTCGACTATATTTTTGATCCTGAATTGAAATTTTTGGTGTGTTTACCTATGATCATCGTTTCACTGATTAAAGCGGTATTTAATCTGAGAACAAAATCGAGAGAGGCCAAGATTATCGTCAGAGATCAAAATTGAGGTTATACCATCTCTGCAGGTCCCAGACACCGCCTAATCTCAATTGTTATTCTGGTAAGTATCGATCATATTCATTTAACATATATTTAAGTTTAACATAGTTAATGTAAAATCATTTTATTCATACTAATCACAATTGGTAATAAACATATATAGATATATTGGTGTCAGGGGTTTTTGATCATTTATGAAAAACAGGTGAAATGGCCAGTTCACAGGTATATCACATCTATGTTTCTGTGCAATTATAGTAATTTTTCATTCTGTGTGTGTTGCATTTATTAGATACTAATTGATTTTTGTGGTTTTCTAGCCGTCAACTTCAAGCTGTAACCCACAGCTCAATCCAGAGCTTGAGACTAGCAACGTTGAAGTAACTTTGAATGACGAGTCATCACAGAGAAGAAAACAGAACACACGGGATTTAGACAAGGGTGGAAAAGAAAATGTTGCTACAGTACCAGGTGTTCATGAACCACGTATAGAACCACAACACATTAATACCGTATGTACAGCAAATGTAGTTTTTTATTGTGAATTATACGTATAGTGTTGAGTGTCAGTGTTTATAAGTACATTTGTGTATATTATTTACAGGGGCTAGAAGAGTACATAAAAAGCACATCTGAAGGCAAAGCGATCATCAAACAGTACGAAAAGTTCTCTGCTCAGCGAAAACCTCTCCCAAAGAATATCAGATGCAGACTTGCACGATTGGTCATTAAAAGAGAAAAAGACCTTGCTCTTCGAAAGATCTCTGCAGACCAAATACTAGAAAAATTTGTGTAAGTTGCAAAAGTGCAAGTTTAACCTATGTACATTAATTTTTATCTATTAATTCAAAATTTTGTATAGAATCACAACAGAAAGATTCACCACCCTTGCCAGTGAAATTGACAGAATATTCAAATACGAAAGTGCTGAAGTGTACTACTCTCCATACAAAAAATCTGGTAAAACAGTAATCAACACATCTGGGACACTATGGACTCATTTTTGTTACAAAAAGGATACTATGAAAGCTGATGATATTCTAGCACAAAAAGAAATCATCGATGAGGACCAGATTATTATTTCAAATAGTGGTACTTAAAAACACTAAGAATGAAAACATTTTGTTTTCATAATAATCTTTCATTTTGTTATCATCTTTTCTGAATTAATATTCTTGATTATAGAGGAAGAACGTATCGATTGGTTGAGTGAAAATATTGACCCATGGACTAAGGTGGAACAATACTGGCAAGAGACTTCTGTCGCTAGACGACAACTATTTCTGAAAAATACAGAATTCACAGTTCATGCCTACTTTGAGAAATTCAAGTGCTTGTCTACACAAAAAGGAAAGGAACTGGTACTTGAAATTTTAAATATATATATTCTCTGATTCCATTTATTTTTTTTTATTGTAACTATTTTATTATTTTTGTTTTAGCTAGAATTAGATTTTTCTCTATTGTATACGAATGTTACGCCTATTGATTATAGCGAATGGAAGAGGATTAGAGATTTATTGATGAACCAATTTGATATGCACAAAATTAAAAATGCAGAAGAATTGGGACTTATTAATAGTTTGAAATCTGGTGATCTGAGCAACGGTAACATTTTTTTCGGTTCTTACAATTGATTTTAACATTACGTTAAAAAATCTATTATTTTATTCTTTCAACATAAAAATACATGTAATTCTGTTTTTTAGAGAAACAAGATTTTTTGCTTATGTACTTATTAGTACACTTGCTTCCACCAAAATCTAGAGGAAGAAAGAGAAAAGCAACGAGTGAAAATCAAGAAATTGTTAATCAAGCATCATCGAAAAAATCTCTAGAGGAAAGAAGAGAATCATTTATTTTGCATGTTGAGGTAATGAATTCTCATTTGAAAATGTGTGCAAACGAAGGTAGTTCGAGAACCTTTCTACTAGCGCTACTACGATGTATCAAGTACAAATGAAATACAAGATACATTTATGCGTCTTCAAAACAACAACAATTAATATATCTTTTGTCACTCTCGTGCTCAATTGCAAGTCGCTTGGGCTTGGAAAACTATAAAATATAAAATACTCGCATTGTTCAATTATATAAAGATTGAACTTTTTATACTCGCGGCCTTCACAAGTTCTATGAATGAATCGTCGTCGAAAGTAGCATGTACTGTAGCAATATATTGAGCCTAAGCCGTGTATTGGAATATTATGAATAACATTTTTTTCGAGTCTTATTTCAAATCATCTTTTCGAGCAAATAACGTACCCCTTCTAGAGGGTAGTCCACGTAATGCATAATATTATATTAAATACATATACAGCTGCAACACATCAAAATCTAATCGAATTCATAGTTAGAGATCTTTCTGTCATTTTTTCTTCCGCTCATTTCATTTTCCTTGTGCTCTCTCTTTACGAATCTTTTTCAGTCAGCAATTGTTGCCTTTCGGTAATCACATCATTTGATACTCTTTATTACTGCGCCATTGTATAAAATGGTGTTAATTGTAATGAATTTTAGAAATATATGATTTTGTTTTTACTTTTTCAGAGTGATGCTGAAGTAGAGCCCAAGATACTAGAATTAAAAAAACGTCTACAGATTGCAAAAGAGACGTTTCAACCTCTTATAATAGCGGTGGGCAGAAATCTTACAAGTATAGAGTCCTACCATATAGCTGTGAATGATCAGTTGTACGAGTTAAGTAACTGTTTAGAAACAGTTGTAGTTGCTTTGAAAATATTTTTCAGTTTAGACTGTGAGTACCCCGAAAATACGCAAGTAATTTGGAAGTTCTTACAACAAGTTTTGTTAAATATTAAGGAAGAAAAGGTTGTTACCGTACAGATGAAAACTTATTTCGGTCTTATTAAAATTTTGCAAGACAATATTTAAAAATGATTACGTGTAAAAATTGTTTTTTAGAGTATGAAAACTCGAGCGAACTTTATGATCACATTGTAATATTTCATAAGGATTTGCAGAGTTATAGTTGTATGTTTGAAAATTGTAATCGCGTTTATAAACTGTTGAATTCGTTAAAAAAACACGTAGGGAATAAGCACATTGTTGTCCCTGTCAGAACTCAAAGCCCTCCTCCTGAACAGTTTTTTACTGACCAAAATTTTCAACACAATGTTCAGAGAGAAGAAGAAATCCTTGACAGCGACAATGACATGAGCGACGACGACGTTTATGAAAATTTTCAGTCTGTTGAAAATGAAAGTTTCGATGATATAGATACTTATGAAAATATTACCTGGGAAAGTGACTTGAAAAAAGCTGTATCAGTATACGTCGCAAGTTTATTTAATTTAAAAAATATTCCTAGAAAGTGTGTTAACGATATAATTCTTAAGTCGGAGGGATTTATAAAAACATTGTCAAATATTTTGAAAGAAAACATAAAAAACGTATTGACCGAGTCAATATCTCAAAATTTAGTAGAATTAAACAAAATGTTTGACACACTTTCAAAATCTTTGACGACTGTAAATTCTGAGCATAAACGGTTAGTAGTGTTTAAGAAATTAAAAACGTTCGTACCCCCTAAGTCGTATAAAATTGGTGAGAGAAGGGAATACCGCAAAGTAAACAATGCTATGAAATTAATGCATATCCCAGTTAATATTCAAATGATTCCTCTCAGATCTGTACTCAAATTGTTTTTTGAACTACCTAACGTTTTTGAAGAGGCAAATGAGTATATGAAAAGTTTAATTTCTGATGACACAATTGTTAGCAACTTAGTTCAAGGGATTTATTGGAAAAATCGCTCGAAGTTTCACGGCAATAAAATAGTTTATCCTCTCATATTTTATTTTGACGACTATGAAAATAATGATCCTTTAGGTTCTCATAAAGGGATTTCCAAGACAGGAGCAGTTTACATAAGTATACCCTCTTTACCCCCTCACTTCCAATCCAAATTAGAAAATATCTTTGTTTTTGCTCTATTCAATTCGTTAGACCGAGTAATATTTACTAATTCTGTAACTTTTTCTAAACTCATTGACGAAATCAATTATCTGAANAATAGGGTCGAGATGTCACACTTTTACTATAAATTATAGCAATTTTTCCTAAAAAAATAGTAACATTTCTTATACTATTTTTCTCCGTGTACATATAATAAAATACCTCTCTCGAGTCGCACAGAGACGATAATGCTGGTATTGATTTTCGCTCGTTCATCGTGTGCGCAGGCAGGCAGGCAGGTAGGCAGCTCTCGATATATATATATACGCGTTTGTTTTTCTCCAATACAATATTTTCGCGCACATGCGAGGCACGCTCAAACGTCGAACGAGATTTTGTGGTCTCTCTCTTTCTGCACGAGTATAATACTGCCGTGCAGCTGGCAAACCGATCCAATTACGCCTTTACATAGCAGCAGCAGTACTACTACTGCCGTAGCGCATTTCGATGCGATGAGTTATGGCTCGTTAAATATCGAGCGCGCAATTTTCTAGATCCTTTCACGAACGCAAAATTGAAGTTTGTCACCTCCTTGGACTATAAACTTTTTATCACCTCGTCGTAGTAGTATAGTACTGCGCGCTCGAGTTAGTTTTACGCAATGCATCGTGTCGCGCGTGCACACCTATATCTATCGAGCGTCGAAGCGCGGTCGAAAGCACACGACGACGACGTTCGTCGCCACCGCAGAGCTTTTGAGCCGAATTCTACTTTCCATTTCTCTCGCGTGTTTATTATTATACGCCTCTGCGCGCGAGCCGCTGCATCGTGATTTCGATTTACCTCGGCTCGCATATAAACGCTTTCATATTCAGGATTTATGCCGCGATTTTATTCGCGTTTATTTTTTTGAGAGCAACGCGGCCGAGGTAAGGTGAGCTTTTTTTTTTTATAATTCGTTAATTTATGAAGTCGACTTATCGAGGCAAGAAATTAGCATGCATAAATAACGTGTAAATTACGAGCACGAACTCGCTGCTCGACTCTCGATTTTTCGTTAATTCAATGCACGTATATTACATACAGTACATGCACGATCGTGTGCGCCGCTGGAGGATCCTCTCTCTCTCTCTCTCTCTCTCTCGCCGCGGCGCGCGATCATCGCGCTTGCGCGTATTAATAGGCTATCGGTTGAAAAAGGAAGAAAAATAAAAAACGAAATCTGCAAATAGCACAACACGCGAGAAGCTCGTGGCGCTCGGCGGCGTTGGCGGCATCGGCGGTCGCAGCGTGATACTACAATAACATATCGCAGGTCGTTATATACATAAACGCGATTCGCGCGCGCGCGCAAGTTTAATAATAATGCACATATAGGTACATACATACGTATGTATGTAGTCGCACTGCGGTAGGTGGCGATCGGCATACCTCTCGCGGGCTTGCACACACACACACACACACCGGCTCCTTTCGTGAGTTTTAACTTTCGCTGCGTTGTTGTTCGTTGTAGCATGTGTGCCGCTGCAGCAGCAGCAACCTTATCTATTATACAGCCGACTCGCATTCCTCGTCTTTCGCGGATCGCGCACCGTATTATGGCTATGGGCTGGGAGCTGCAGAATACGATCCTCGATGTCTCGCCTGCAACTTATTTATAGAGCCGCGCGAGCGGCTTGTCGCGTGTATTTTTCGTCGTCGCGCTCTCGATAAATAATGCAAAAAAAAATCCATTTAGAAAGTTCATCGATTTTGATAAGCGCGAGATAATTTAATTACCGCGCGACGAGTTTAATATTTTCATTTTCGAACGTAAAATGTATAATACACAGCTTCGGCAGCGGTGGCGATCGTGTGCGGGCTGCCGTTACCGCCGACACGTTGAGAAATGTCGCAAGCGAGGATCGCATCGCGGATACACCGCTGCTGCTGCGCATATAACCATTGATCTGCCTACGTTGTATTTTCTTATTCTGTCCATGTTAAAAACCTACAGAGTCGGCAATCGTTTTGTCGTTGTTGCTGCTTTTGCTGTTGTCCGTCCGTAGAAGACGCAAGAGCATTAGTTAACTTCGAGAGATGTTTTAGCGAACGCGACAGGTCGTATACATAGTCGGGAGCTTACGTAAATCGCGCGACGGATTCGAGAGACGGGAAGAACACGAACACTTGTGAAATTCGATTATTGCGAGCGGAGCAGCAGCAGTTTAGCAGTGCTCGTCTTGTCTCCTTCTTGAGCTTCGATGAAAAATTGCAAGAGCCTTCGCACGCGCGGTTATTGACAATTATCTCATGACGAGCGCAATCGGTCCGTCGCCATTAAAATGCATTATAGGTAGAGTACGTGTAGACGAAAAAAAAAGCGAACGCGCAAAAAGTCGCTGCTCTATACGCGCGAGTATATAATATTGTTAGGTATATATACCGATGCGCGATGATTATTTTTGCGCACTGCACGTATAATACCGCGGAGAGCTGACTCTCGCGATCGTAAAGGAAACGATGCCTCTTCTTTTCTTTCTTTCTCTCTCTCGCGAGCAGTCGAAGAAGAAGGCGCCCTCGAGAGCTTTCGCACGGGCTCGTTATGATATTCGAGCCTTTAGAGCATCTTTACGAGGTTTATATTACTCTCCGGAAATGCTCTACAATGCTGCGTGTGCTGCTGCTATGCTGCCGGCACTGCGAGTGCACACGCGTGCATACTAGTAATATACATGTGTTTGCACAGCAGCGGCCCAACCAGGTCTATATCTATCTATGTATTGCGCTCCTCCGACACGCATCGAATCTATAATATTGTACTTGTGCGGTGAGTAACGGCTCATTCCTTTTTTTTTTTGCCCCCGCTTCGTTTGACGCGCTCTACTAAATTAACCGAAGGAACTATCAGACCAAAGCGATGATTTTCGGCTCCTTATTGTTACACGGCTGACTGGTAATCATGTGATTTTTTTACGAGGCGAGATCGAGCGCAATAATGAAACGATAAACAAGGTTTTCTTCGTCTGTATCAAGCTGTTATTTTAATCTTGAATTTAGAACTTCGCTTATAAAATGGATATCATTACCGTGATGTATGATATGACTTTTTTCAAAATCTGCAATGAAAACATTGAGTTGAGTTTTTCTCGTTTTATTCAATTATAAAATATATTTACTTTCATACTTTACTGAAATTTTCGAGATTAAGGTTGGTTATGGTAAATGGGCCAAAAGTCAATCCAGTTGTTTTTATTGATCTCATCAACATTAAAACGATATAAATTCTGGTTTCCTTTGGAAACCCGTACCATCCACAAGTGCAACTGTCATTTTATAGGATTTTCATTATAATTTTAAGTGTACTTAAATTTTTTGACGATTTCATGAAAGATTATACCAGTTATAATAAATTTTATCATTAGAATTTAAGACCGCTTGTCCGACAAAATTCATCATGAAACTAGCTGTCATCGTGGTAATGAATATTGTCAGCATTTGTGAAAATGCCACTGGATTAGTCTTCATCCACATCACCATCTGAGAATGTAAAAAATTATAGATGCAAATTATAGTTTAATGATTTTATGAATTGGAAAATCAAACATTTCACGGCAGTTTCATTCTACCAAAGATCCTGTAAAACTAAGAGCCGTAAAATTGAAAATAGCTCCAATGAACAACAACTTTTCATTCAACAAGTTTATAGATTGAAGCAATCTAAAAAAATTTGGGCTTGCAAATTTTCTCATTTTTTTGAAAATTAAGATTTATTGATTTTAGAAATATCAACCTGAGTGATTCATCGTAATCACAATGAATATTGAGAACTTCATTTTTAACATAATTGTTGACTTTTTCATCGAGAACGTAGTATTTGTCTTGCACGAGCTCATTCAGATTTTCCAGTCGGCAGCTTCGTTCAAGCATACAAATTCATTTTAATTCAAAATCTACTTACAGAAGATTGTATGAAAACAAGAAAAAACTTACGCTAAAAGATAAAACTGAGCTCGAATGACAGCAATCATGAAAAGAAAACACGAAATCAATGCGTTCAAGAAAATGACAAGACACGAGATAATCAATATATCATATAATAAAATGATGTAAAAATATTTTTTGTGGTCGAAGGGATAAACCGCTTTAGTCCCATGATGTCTCGTAAGATTATACTGCCCTGGCATAAGATTGTTTGCAACAAATGGTATTGAAATCGGCCCGGTCGAGTAACACACACCTAATATAGCAAAAAAAACTGCGAAACGTGTAGATAATTTATAAATAATAATAGTTTCATAATCAAATGATTCCTGATCATCAATCGTAAGTTTTGAGTAATCAACTGTTATATCTTCGATGATAGTTTGAAACTGGAAACGAGTAAATTTTGTACCTTAAATATTATGAGGATGGATTAAAATGCACAATAATTTTCATTGAATACCTTAGATTCAGATTCGATAAATAAGACGTACGCTATTAAGAAGGATAGCGCCATGATTAATTCACTGCAGCTTATTGTTCCATATTCGATTTCAATCGTTCCTTCGTGATTTTTTTTTAACATTCCGTATAACTGAAGTCATTATTTAAAATTGTATGGTTATTCTGCTGTGATTTCACTAAAAATCGAAATTCTATATCTTACTACGCAAAGACCAAAGTATGATACGTTACTCAAGTTATAAATTCTGATTATAATTTTTAACCATTTCATTTGATAAGGCCATAACCCAGACATTAGAAGAAACCATCTAGTCCAGTAATACTTCTTTTTTACAAAATTATTTGTTGTTTCGGTCAACATAGTGCGTTTATTTGGAAAATACATCGAATATAGAGTATTGGTCTGTCCATACTCGCAATGCCTTGAATAAATCATATACCCATGCATTGTTGAGTTAGAAACCCAATGCATATTTTATGCATATTTTAGTAACTTCTTACTACTCTCTTATTGTATTTACTAAAAAAAAAACATAATCAAATATAAAGACATCGATTTTGTGTTTCTTGGTCGTATAAATATATAAACTTTAGTTCCATTCAACTAATCAGAAAACTTCAAATGTAAAAAATTTTCCAACGTCGATAAGTAATTTTGTTTGAATAATTTTATTAAGGCAA